TTTGGTAAGTGATATCTATCCAGAAAATGGTCCATTTCCTTTAGATTTTTGAATTTTGTGGAGTACAGGTCTTCAAAGTATGCCCTGATGATTCTCTGGATTTCTTCAGTGTCCGTTTTTTATGTCCCTCTTTTCATTTCTGATTTTTTTCATTAGCATGCTCTCTCTCTGCCTTTTTATTAGCTTGGATAGAGGTTTGTCTATCTTGTTGATTTTCTCGAAAAACCAACTCTTTGTTTCATTGAGTCTTTGTGGTGTTTTCCTAGTTTCTACTTTATTGATTTCAGCCCTCAGTTTGATTATTTCCTGGAGTCTACTCCTCTGGGGAGAGTTTGCTTCCTTTTGTTCTAGAGCTTTCAGTTGTGATGTTAATTCTCTAGTGTGACTATTCTCCAACCCCCTGTATCTTATCAGACCACCATGCTTTAAAGTTAAAATTCAACAACAACACAAATTGCAGAAAACCTACAAACTCATAGAAATTAAATAATGAGCAATTGAACCATTGCTGAGTCAAGGAAGAAATAAAAATAGAAATTAAAGACTTCCTAGAATTCAATGAGAATGAAGACACAACATACCCATACCCATACAACTATGGGATACTTTGAAAGCAGTGCTAAGAGGAAAGTTCATAGCACTAAATGCCCATATGGTGCCTGGTGCCCATGGTGGGCCAGAAGAGGGCCTTGTATCCTATGGAACTAGAATTACAGACAGTTTGATGTGCCATGTTGGTACTGAGATTCTAACCTGAATCCTTGTTTTAGTAGCCAGTGCTCTTGACCAGCCCCAACAATTCAGAATTTTTAAAGAAAAGATTGAATGAATTCATCTTTAGTTGAAGTGCAATTAGTTGTGTCTCTTTGCCTTGAGATAAGGGAGATTGTGTTCAATGTGTTTGTTGAAACATCTAATTCTAACACATGGTTCAAATGGACAAACTGCGGGACATTATACTAAGGACAAATAGCTGGGCATCGCCACTTGCTCGAGGTGATCCAGAGTAGGCAGCGTCCATTGCAGTCTCTAGTCCTTCTCCCCAGAGTAAAACTATAAATGCAGCAGCATGGGAATTTCCTTTACATGACTGCTGTTCTTTTTATTGTGCTTAGAAGACACATACACAAAATTTACCACCTTAGCCTCCATGTACTGTCCAGCAGGGCTACTTACTCACATACTGCTGTGTAACCAATCTCTGGAATTCTTGCATTCTGAAAATCTGAAACTCTGTGCAAACTTCCCCTTAGCCCCTGAGAAGTCCGATTCCACCTTGTGCTCTCATGCGGCTGGTTGGTAGTGGTAGAGTGGAGGACACTCTCCACGGCCATGACAAGTCATTTGAGTTTTCCACCATGCTGGGGAAACATT